CCAGGTCCCTCAGCTGTGCAGTTCCATGAAAAATCACAGAGTCCTCCTGCTCAAGGAGTTAACTCTGTCATTAAGGAGTTAACTTTGTCATAGAGGAGTTAACTCTGTCATAGAGGAGTTAACTCTGTCATAGAGGAGTTAACTCTGTCATTGAGGAGTTAACTCTGTCATAGAGGAGTTAACTAACCCGGGTCCCTCAGCTGTGCAGTTTCATGAAAAATCCCAGAGTCCTCCTGCTCAAGGAGTTAACGCTGTCATTGAGGAATTAACTCTGTCATTGAGGAGTTAACTCTTCCATAGAGGAGTTAACTCTGTCATAGAGTAGTTAACTCTGTCATTGAGGCGTTGACTCTATCATAGAGGAGTTAACTCTGTCTTAGAGCAGTTAATTTTGTCATAGAGGAGTTAACTAACCCGGGTCCCTCAGCTGTGCAGTTTCATGAAAAATCCCAGAGTCCTCCTGCTCAAGGAGTTAACGCTGTCATTAAGGAGTTAACTCTGTCATTGAGGAGTTAACTCTGTCATTGAGGAGTTAACTCTGTCATAGAGGAGTTAACTCTGTCATAGAGGAGTTAACTCTGTCATTGAGGAGTTAACTCTGTCATAGAGGAGTTAACTCTGTCATTAAGGAGTTAACTCTGTCATAGAGGAGTTAACTCTGACATAGAGGAGTTAACAAACCCAGGTCCCTCAGCTGTGCAGTTCCATGAAAAATCACAGAGTCCTCCTGCTCAAGTTGTGCAACCATCAGCAACAAAGGCGCTGTGGGACTGTTATTTAGGATGTGCCTGGGAAACACAAAGAGCTCTGTGAGCAGGCCGGCCTCCTTTAAGCCTCACTTCGATAGAGACGCTGCCAAAGCTGGAATGAAAAGCTGGTTTTGCCTCTTCCTCTGAACAACAAAGTACCCAGAAAGCCCTCCAAGGTCTCCTCTCCATCCCAGAGCAGCCTTTTATGAAAAGGTAATATGCTTTGAACGCTGCGTGGACCTGTTTGGCTCAGGCTCTAATGCTTTTATTATTTAGACTGAGAGCTGCTGGGAGTGAGAGCCAGTGAGGAAAATCTGCTTCTGCACCAACTTACAGAGTTTTATTAAAGTGCATTAAAGCATTATCAGAGCTCAAACTTCATGTTAGGGCACAAACACAGAGCTTCATGTTAGAATTCAAAAACAGCTTCATGTTAGAGCTCAAACACACAATATCATGTTAGAGCTCAAACACAGAGCTTCATGTTAGAGCTCAAACACAGAGCTTTATGTTAGAGCTCAAAAACAGCTTCATGTTAGATCTCAAACGCAGAATCATGTACAAACTCAAACACAGAGCTTCATGTTAGAGCTCAAAAATAGCTTCATGTTAGAGCTCAAACAGAATATCATGTTAGAGCCCAAACACAGAATATCATGTTAGAGCTCAAACACACAATATCATGTTAGAGCTCAAACACGGAATATCATGTTAGAGCGCAAACACAGAACTTCATGTTAGAGCTCAAACACACAATATCATGTTCGAGCTCAAACACAAAATATCATGTTAGAGCTCAAACGCGGAATATCATTTACAAGCTCAAACACAGAATATCATGTTAGAGCTCAAACACAGAATATCATGTTGGAGCTCAAACACAGAATATCATGTTGGAGCTCAAACACAGAATATCATGTTAGAACTCAAACACAGAATATCATGTTAGAACTCAAACACAGAATATACAAAACACAGACTAAATACTAAAGTTATTGGGAGACAATCAGGGCAGGGTAGACAATCACACAGGCGGGAAACACATGAGGCTAAGTAAAAAGAAAATGAAACAGGAAATACTACAAGGAAAAAATTAAGCTTCCTGGACATTCAATTCAATTCAATTCAATTCAATTTATTTTTGTATAGCGTCAACTCAAAACAAGTGTTATCTCAAGACACTTTACAAAAAGCAGGTAAAATACCTTACTCTTTGTCTGTTAACATTACGAAAGAGCAGGTAAAAAGACCTTACTCATTGTAATATAGCAATAAGTAAGGTCTTTTACCTGCTTTTTGTAACATAACAAAGATCCGGCCTATCCATCATGAGCATAAAGCAGCAAAAGTTACAGTGGTAAGAAAAAAACTGCCTTATTAAAAGGCAGAAATCTGGCAGGCCGTCAACCAACGATCTTGAGGAGCCTAAGAGAGCTCAAGAGCTCTCAGGAAAGTAGGTGGTTAGTGACTGAGATTTACAGATAGATACATGCAGTAATATGATGTACTGTATATGCACAGAGAGAGAGAGAGAGAGAGAGAGAGAGAGAGAGAGAGAGGAGCTCAAGGTGCCAGTTCCCCTGGTAGTCTAAGCCTATAGCAGCATAACTAAGAGCTGGTCTACACCAGCACTAACTATAAGATTTATCAAAAAGGAAAGTTTTAAGTCTATTCTTAAAAATACAGACTGTGTCTGCCTTCCGGACCCCGGCTGGAAGGCGGTTCCAGAGGAGAGGAGCCCATTAACTGACATGACAGTAACCTCACTAAGTGATGATTTTGTGTTTATTTTTCAAACCTACCATCGTGAACACAGAGAGACAGTAAAGTAATTAATTTAATCTTGCCAAGTTATGACTAAAAGTTAATAACAACTTAAATCTGCATTATGACTATGTTTTAAGACTTTATTGTAATCAAACGGTTATAATCTCTAAACCTTCTATCCTTTTTTCTTCATGTGGCCCCAAATATACAGTCCTAACTTTGGCCCCAAAATTTTTGGAAAGAAAATGTTTGAGCACTAAAATATTATCATTGTTTTTACATCGGTTGTTTGAAAAACTACGTCTACAGCTGCTCCACCCTCGCTTCCAAACATGGTCACTTCTGAGTTTGTCTTCAAACACCGGTCTATAAATACGCTCTGTGGTTTTTAGGTTTGAATCTGTCAGACTGACACTCGGTGAGTAACCTGTTTTTAAGACGACAAACCACAGAGGCAACAAGGTGACATTACATATATGAGAAGCTGTTTGTCCTCACATGCCCCGCTACACACACACACACACACACACACACACACACACACACACACACCACACACACACACACACACACACACACACACACACACAAACACAAACACAAACACACAAGATCACAGTTTGTCATGAACATTTAATTGTTCAGGTTCTGAATCTGTCTGAATAAAATTTAACGATATAAAACATGGAGTTGCTCTCTCTCTCTCTCGCACACAGTGAATGTCTCTCGTCCTCTCATGGAGTGTTGCTGCTTGTAAAGTCGTCCCGCCCGTACATGACTCTTAGACTGGCATGCTAATTGGAAACAGAAGTGTTTGCCTGCTTCCTGCCTTTTCAACTGCCTCTTATAGACACACACACACACACACACACACACACACACACACACACACACACACACACACACAAACTCCTACGTGGGAGTAGTAGCTGGCAGTAGCCCTGTTAGCTGTGTACCTATAAAGTGTGGTTTGTACAGCAGTGAGAGAAATTTGGATTTTATTTAAAACAGTGAAACGTTTGTGTGTGTGTGTGTGTGTGTGTGTGTGTGTGTGTGTGTGTGTGTGTGTGTGTGTGTGTGTGTGTGTGTGTGTCTGTGTGTTTGTGTGTTTGTGTGTGTGTGTGTGTGTTTGTGTGTGAGTGTGCGTGCGTGCATGCGTGCGTGTGCGCGTGTTGCGGGTGTCTGCAGATGGATGCTAACAGTGTCATGGTACAGCGTTAGTCACTGTGCAGGAATTTCCTTAAAGAAATCGTTAAAGAAAAATCTACATTTTATCACAGTTTGGCAGATTGAACTGGAATAAACACACACACACACACGCACAGAGGCACACACACATACACTTTAATAGTTAAAAGATGTTATTTTTCTGGTTCTGTTTTGAGCGGTAAATTGATCGTCGTGTTTCATTAATTAGTCATTTCTAATTTGAATTCTTTAAAGCTCAGTGAACACACACACACACACACACACACACACACACACACACACACACACACACACACACACACACACACACACAAGTCGAGGCTGCCTGCATCTGTTTGTGTTTGGTCATATGTTGCACAAATAATAGACTCAGTCTGTAGAAACCATTAAAAAAAGCAATAACTTACAGAATAAAAGAGAAAATATCAGACAAAGTTGTCATTAGAGCAGCGACTCCAACATCTGTAACATTAAATAAATGTTGTTTTAATGCAGTCTGATGGCTCAGGTAACTCATGAATACCTGATTTCACCACCAGGGGAAACTCTGGCTCCAAAGCTGCTCCTTCACATTAGGAAATATAAAATGGAATGAAATTAGCAATATAGTGTTAGGATAGAATAAAGTAATATGTAGAAAGCTCAGATTGGGACAGAAGGAGCTCACCCTTTAACTAAAGTAATAACCTGTTTATCCCCGTCCCACCTCACTCCAGTGAAACATTTCTGCCATGGTTTAAAAAGTACATTCTGTATGAAATCTGTGTTCTGAAACATTTGATGCAGAAAACGTTTGGTCCCATATCGTCTGTTATCGTGTCTGCAGGCCGGATATTGACTTGTTTGTTTTTATTGCTTCTGCTCATACAGAGACAGATATCACAAAACTGGATGTGATTTGTTTCACTGAGAACACTTCCTCCAGAGGACAACATCAGGATCTCCAGAGAAACATCTGTTTGTGTTCAGGAGAGACGATCCTGCAGACTGAGAGGAGGAAATGAGCAGCGTCAACACTCAGAAAATACTCTGTTACTGTACCTTTAAGGAGCCTCGGGTGGACTTTAACATGTAAACACACATTATGCACTCCTTACTTTCATTCTTTTCATGCACCATCAAGACTTCAGCGTAGATGTGACTGAAGACATTCAGTGATGTTCTGTGATGTAAGGTCGCCAACATGTTCAACACTTTGTTCTTTTTTTATACCATTTGGGTCACGCATGCTGCTGAACCCAAATGCAGACCAACAGGTACAGTACAAAAGGAACTTTATTCAGAATCTTGCAGTGGGTGAGGGGTGAAGGGGGGGGAGGGGGGGGGAGGGGGAGGTGTGAGGGGTGAGGGGTGAGGGGGTGAGGTGATGGGTGAGGCTGGGGTGAGGGGGTGAGGGGTGAGGGGTGAGGGGTGAGGGGTGAGGGCTGGGGTGAGGGGGTGAGGGGTGAGGGGGTGAGGGGTGAGGTGTGAGGGGTGAGGGGTGAGGGGTGAGGGCTGGGGTGAGGGGGTGAGGGGTGAGGGTGAGGGCTGGGGTGAGGGGGTGAGGGGTGAGGGGTGAGGGGTGAGGGGGTGAGGGGTGAGGTGTGAGGGGTGAGGGCTGGGGTGAGGGGGTGAGGGGTGAGGGGTGAGGGGTGAGGGGGTGAGGGGTGAGGTGTGAGGGGTGAGGGCTGGGGTGAGGGCTGGGGTGAGGGGGTGAGGGGTGAGGGGTGAGGGCTGGGGTGAGGGGGTGAGGGGTGAGGGGTGAGGGGTGCAGGCTGGGGTGAGGGGTGAGGGGTGAGGGGGTGAGGGCTGGGGTGAGGGGTGAGGGCTGGGGTGAGGGGTGAGGTGTGAGGGTGGGTGAGGGGGTGAGGGGGTGAGGGGTGAGGGGGTGAGGGCTGGGGTGAGGGGTGAGGTGTGAGGGTGGGTGAGGGTGAGGGGGTGAGGGGGTGAGGGTGAGGGCTGGGGTGAGGGGTGAGGTGTGAGGGGTGGGTGAGGGGTGAGGGGTGAGGGTGAGGGGGTGAGGTGTGAGGGTGAGGGGGTGAGGGGTGAGGGGTGAGGGCTGGGGTGAGGGGTGAGGTGTGAGGGGTGGGTGAGGGGGTGAGGCAGGGAGCTGTGTGGAGTGTGCTGGCTGCTCGCAGGCTGTGTTAGCAGTGAGGCTGAATGTCTGAAATCAAATAACACACACACCTCCATGGACACTATGATGCAGATACTGTGACAACATATTTTAAAAAGATACAGTCTCTTGACACTTTTTAAAAGTTCATCAGAGAGTCACTCCTTCTTCATGTGAGACCCTGAATATTAAGACCACCACACTTTACTCAGGTGTGTTTGAAAGAACATCAAACACACATTAGAGACATTACAGTAATCTGTTTACTTTTCTTCCTTCAATGGGCTTCATCAGACTCTCACTTTCCACTCAGCCTGTTTGAAATCATTCAGTGAAAACTATTTGATAAAATGAAACACATTCAATGCAAGAGATTCTCAAACTGAGTCTGACTGAGAACTCAGTAAACAGTGATTGTCTGTTCTTTAGATAATCACTGTTTACAGCTGACCACACACACACACACACACACACACACACACACACACACACACACACACACACAGAGTGGGTCCACGTCAGCTCTAGCGGTCACATTCTCTCATTCTGACTTGTTGTTGTCTCTCTGAAGTTCAGCAGGTTAAAGGAGCAGAGTGAACGTGTCAGTCTTCAGTGTTTACACACAGCTGTGTTTCACTTCTTTATCAGACACATAGCTGATCTGTGTGTTCATGTATGAACTAAACCGTTCTTTCGATGCACAGAGCGTGTCTCAGGACAAATCAAAAGAGGCGATGGAGGAACCTGTTTGTTTACACTCGCAAATACTCCAAATTAATCTCCCCGTTGACATTTCACAAAATGTTTGTATCAAAGGATGGAAGCCGGTAACCAAGCCAACCAGCTACCCCAATATATCGTTACTATAAAATGTTCAATTTGCCGCAAAAATGGCGTTAAAAAACATAGAAAAAGGTAAAGGTACAAGACTATGTCCATAATGTTCCTCTGGAGTCCATGAACTACACATCCCACAATCCATTGGGAATGATAGTGCTTCTTCTTAATGTAACTTTAGTAGTTTTTTAAGTGTTTGGAAACACTCCACTTATAGGAGATGTTGCTGTGACACTATGATTGTGGGAAGTGTAGTTCTTTTCTACAATGGTTCATATCATACAAACGCATAAACCATCATTTCACACATCAGTCTACTTGGGATGGTTATGACATCATGGATAATAATAAAATCCACTATGGAGAAAATAAACACGGTTTATTAAGGTGATGAGAGCCGCAGAGAGTCAGCGTTAGTGAGTCGTAATGGTGAACGAGTGACGAGAGCTTCAGAGAGTCAGCGTTAGTAAGTCTTAATGGTGAATGAGTGATGAGAGCCGCAGAGAGTCAGCGTTAGTGAGTCATAATGGTGAATGAGAGTCAGCGCTAGTGAGTCATAATGGTGATTGAGTGAGAGTCAGCGTTAGTGAGTCATAATGGTGAACGAGTGATGAGAGCCGCAGAGAGTCAGCGTTAGTGAGTCATAATAGTAAACGAGTGATGAGAGCCGCAGAGAGTCAGCGTTAGTGAGTCTTAATGGTGAACGAGTGATGAGAGCCTCAGAGAGTCAGCGTTGGTAAGTCAGTGGTTATAAAGTTATAATAATAATAATCAGAGTCCTGAGTGTCAGCATGATGAGTGTCTGAGTCTCTGCTGCCTCAGCAGAATTTACATCATCATCAGATTCACTGTCAGCTGTTACATTTGAACACACTGTGTCGTCGACATCACTGCACAGGGAGTGTGAGACACACAAACACACACACACACACACACACACACACACACACACACACAGAGTCACAGATTCACAGAGTGTAAAGAGCTGACTGATTATTGCTTCTTCTTTGAGAGGGAACATGTCTTCTGAACACAACGTTGTCACAACAAACACACACAAAGTAAGTTTTCAATTTCCAAAGTTTGGAGTGCTACCAAAAAGAACAATCCGTACCGTCCTATTTTTTGCTAGTCTTCTGTTGGGGTGCCAAGCAAACCGATCCGACCCTACAGGGCGGAGCTAGACACACTGCAGTCTGTTGATTGGTTGAATCTTCCCAAGCTACAGCACAGATATTAAACGTGCTATGTTTACTAACTAATGTCAGCATTTAGCTCCTCCCCATGGATGACCTTGGAGGTAACGACCTCTGCTTGACGTCCTCCATTGTTGCTCTTTGTTTACTGTGTCGTGTTCTTCTTCTTCCTTTAATTTATTGGCACGCTACACTGTGTCGCTCTGCTATCATGTCATAGCCGAGTGACGCAAGTGAGATCAGGGTTTATTGTACCACACTGTAGCTTGTGGGAAGTGTTCTGTTGTCTGTTTGCAGTCCGAGCTGTATCGACCAATCAGCAGGCTTTGGTGTACTCAGAGGAAGCAGTCTTTGTAGAGAATCCAATGTGATGTTATTTCAGTGAATGTGAGTAAATCTTGAGAACATAAGCTTGTTTTTTCAGGTTCATATAAACTGAAGTGATCCAGAGTGAAGCCTCTGTGTGACTTATAATTTACAGTTAAACTGAGACTCACAGGAAACTGATGGACGTAGTTCCTCTGGGGATGTTAGGGCCTAGGACATGACAGAGTTTAATGTTCAAACCTTCAAAGTCATTTCTCTCTGAGCATCAGGGGTTCTCTCCAGGTACTCCGGCTTCCTCCCACAGTCCAACTGGACTGAACAACACAGGTTAACTGCTGACTCTAAATTCACCGTAGGTGTGAGTGTGCCTGGTTGTCTTGCTTTATATGCCAGCTCTGTGATTGGCTAGAGGTAACCCCGCCTCTCGCCCAATGACAGCTTGGCTCTGGTTTTCTATTCTTCAGGAGAAAAAGAACTCAGTAAGGACCATAGACTGTAAATATTATTGGATGAATCCTGACCCGTCCGGGTCGCTGCTCGTGCGGAAGACCGGCCGGCTCACAGAGCAGTTATTTAGCAGTTATGTAGCATTTATTACTTTTTTCTACTGTTTATTTTTCTTTAGATATATTGTTTTATATGGTTTTCCCGAGGACACACAGGAAGATTGTGTTTTATAACTTTTGGCCGCTACTACACAGAAGAAGCAGATTTTCTTTTTTCTTTTTGTCCTCTCGCAGCCCTGCTCTTTGTTTACCACCGTTAACACGTGACAAACGGACAGTCTTCTTCTTTCTTTCTTTCTTTTCTTTTTTATCCCCAGTCTTCTTCTTTCTTTTCTTTTTTATCTCCCGGAATTATTTACCATTGGCATGGATACCCGAATCAGAGCCAGGCTTAAACGGGAGACATGTAAACAACGGCCGCTTCCATCTATCATCAATGTACGCTCCCTCCGCAATAAAACGGATGAGTTACAGGCCAACATTAACCACATGCATGAGTACAGGACTGCCTCTGTTCTTGCTTTTACTGAGACGTGGTTAAATAAGAACAATGATGATAACATGCTGCACGTTGATGGCTCCTCCCCCCCTTTAAGACTTGATCGAGACAGTGAGCTCACTGGGAAACAACGTGGCAGCGGCGTGTGTCGATTGCCGTGAGGGAGAAACTGTGCACCTCGGACATTGAGCTTCTGGCTGTCTCCCTTCGCCCTTTCTATCTCCCCAGAGAATTTCCACAGCTTTTTCTCATCCTGGTTTACATCCACCCCAGAGCTAACGCAGCCACAGCCACTGAACACATCACAAACTTATTAAATAAACTGGAACTCATATCACCGGACTCTCCCAAATTCATCTTGGGTGATTTCAACCATTGCTCTCCTGAAAAAGCACTAAAAGGCTACCAGCAGTACATTTCATGCAGCACCCGACTGGGGAAGACAATGGATAAATGCTATGGTTCAGTTCCTAACGCATACAGATCTGTTGCTCTCCCCCCTCTTGGCTCTGCTGACCACCATGCCATCCTGCTTGCTCCAGCATATACTCCTGTAATAAAGAGGGTTAAGAAAGTTGTTAAGAACATCAAGCAGTGGACCAACGAAAGCATTCTTACACTACAAGGATGCTTTGAATCCACTGACTGGGATAACCTCTTAGCCCCCTCCAACAACATTAATGAACATGTGGACACTGTTTCATCGTACATCTCCTTCTGTGTGGACAACATCATACACTCCAAAACAGTTACAATCTACCCCAACAATAAACCTTGGATCACCAAAGAGCTCAAGGAGGTCCTCAACAAGAAGAAAAGGGTCTTCTTCACCGGCTCCAAAATGGAGAAAAAGGAGGTAAACAGAGAAGTCAAGCACGCCATAAAAACTGCCAAAGTCAAGTACAAGAACAAAGTGGAGGAAAAATTCACACAGGGGAACCTCCGCTCAGCTTGGCAGGGCCTCAAAAACATGGCTGCTGTGAACACTGCTGCTACAAACATCAAAACCATCGAGGTTGCAGGCAGCAGCTCTACTTCTCTCTTCCAACGATCTCAACTCATTCTACACCAGATTCGAGAAGGACAACACCACACAGCTGGAAGGAATAGTGTCCATGCTCAAGCCCAGTGACTCTGCACTCACCTTCAGCAGAGAGGATGTGGTGAGAGCCCTCAGGAGGACAAGGCAGAGCAGCTCACCTGGTCCAGACAACATCAGTGGCCGCATCCTGAAGCACTGTGCCGAGCAGCTAGGGGGCATGTTTCAGACCCTGTTCCAGAGCTCTATGGACAGCAGCACAGTCACCCAGCTGTGGAAACACTCCACAGTTATCCCCATCCCCAAGAAAAGCCCCGCCAAATCACTAAATGACCTCAGGCCTGTGGCCCTCACGTCTCAGGTGATGAAGGCCATGGAGAGGATCATAAAGCAACACATCATCAGAGAACTCGACTCCCAGATGGACCCGCTACAATTTGCTTATCGTGCAGGCAGAAGTGTCGATGATGCAAAAACATTCATCATGGATACTGTTCACAAACACCTGGAGCACGCCAACACCTCAGCCAGACTCCTGTTTGCAGACTTCTCCTCTGCATTCAACACCCTGCAGCCTCACATCCTGGCTGACAAACTTTCAACTTGCTTCCATCTGAACGACCAGCTTATCCTGTGGATATTGGACTTTCTGACCAACAGATCACAGAGAGTT